CCTACTGTCAAACACCTCAATTATTAGTAGGAGTTTTTTAAACGTTCTTTGTGCATATTTCACACTCCTTATGTACGATGTCCTGTTCAAGGATCTGAATCAATTTTTTACATGAGCCCTTATCACACAACCTCGCATAACCTCAATGCTATGCCAAATACCAAGAGCTACAGCATTCTTTTTGCTAGAACTGGCATTAGATTGATCTTATCCATTGACTGTTTTATGTACATACAACAAAAGGAAACAAAAGCAGGATTAAAAAAATTAAGTAAAAAGAAAAACTTGACTTTTTGAAAGCTGAAAAGTAAAATTTGGCATGGAACAAGTGTCATCAGTTTTTCCCCATACTTCCAGCTTAAATACCAATTATGAAATTTTACCATCAACATATTCAGAGCTTAGTGTATGTCTTTGTGTGTTTGCACATATGAAAGTCCTGCAAGTTTGAATGCTTCCCTGAGTGGTTTAAGTACTGCATCTGCTTTTCACCTACAATGCTGCCTGTGCAGTGCTATAATTCTGTAACAGAACAAACAGTTCTCCACGGACAACAGCATACTTTTTCGCTAACAGTAGCTAGTCACATTTCCTAATTTTGCTATCCAAATATTACAGTGACCTGAAGACATTCACTTCTCACTTGAAAAATCCCCCAAGTGTTTTAAAATAATCTTTTTCTCCTAGTAACCACATAAAATTGGACAATTGCAGCCCCACAAAATTGCAGGTAAACCTCACCTCATGAAGCCCTAGGTGCAAATCCTAGATTTTCCTATATTGTAAGGGGGAAAGCAAAGAACTATCAGCTAGTTGCATAATTCTGGCAGGAATCAAACAGTAACCATGTTTATATACGGCAAAGGACATGCAAGAAGCAGTAGGACTGTCATCTTACCAAAAAGCAGTCCTTTGCAATTTCTGGAACTGCCCACTGGCACATAAAATAAATGTCACACTGGCGGAGGCCCCATGAAATCTGGATCTCACTGTACTAGATGTTTAGAAACACATGCTGATGACTAGTCCACTGTAGAGTATCGAAACTTGTAACAAACACCACATTTCTAAGGGATCAGAAATTCTTCTACCAACTTTTTAAAACTATGGAAAAAAATATTTCTCTAGACTTCTTTTGGTTAAACTCCATTTAATTTCTCTAAACTTCTGTAAATAATCAATGTAAGTTACTACAAAATGTTCATATACTGCAATTCTTGCCTCTTTAACAACAATGGTAACACTGGCAGAGGTCATACAATAGTCAGACATTCTCAGCCAAAATAAATACCATTCCAAGATGAAGTGTGCCACTATTATTTAGCTCAGTGACAGCTAAAATTTCATATGAAGTGTGATGTGGCCACTTGGCTTTATGTTCCAGTTAATTTTAATCGCCTGCAGTAAAGAATTCTGCAAGCATAACTCTTATCACAAATTGCTAACAGGATAATAGTATGTGTAGTTTAAAAAACATTATTCAATTTCAGGACACACACACTTAGGTTACCATAAAATCACTTACAAAAAAAAAAAAAATCAGTTGAAAGCATCTCTTTAATCTAAGTTATGGCCCAAATAGAGAGGTAGGATCTTGAATAATTCTGCATAAAATCCAACACATAGCAGATCAGCTCTCCTAAATTAATGTATGGTGAATTTTAGTTTTGATGTAACATTTCATAAATCAGTATAGACTGGACTACTAACATCAAGTTAATATAAGCAAAAATCTGATTTAACAGAACTATATTATTTTAAACAAAAAATTACATTATGATGAAAAGTAATACTCCTGAGCTCCTTTTCAATTCAATGCTACACAAAAGTAACTTGAGTATTAAATGTAAAGTTTTTATAGCAGTCAAAAGCTCCATCTTCATGTTCAATTTTAACTTACCAAAATTTTGAAAAAAGGTGAAGTTGTAATTTCACAACAGAAACACTTATTACATGGGTCACTTTGGAGACCTACACAGTTGCTTTTACTACCTTCACAGAATTCTGCATGTCAGTTTGGTGCTAAATAGACCTCTTTGCTATAATCTGTTTTACACTAAAATTCTCTATGCTGTCAAAAAAATAAATAAATCAAATCAGCCATAACAAACAACAGAAGGAAACAACATTTTGTTTATTCTTACTATGAAAGGAAAAAGGGGGAAAAAGAACAACCAAGTATTACCAAATATCATTGCATTATGTCAAATATAGGAGTACATTTTGTCCTATTTGCAGGATGGAGATACACTTCACTGTTTCCACATAACATGGCCAAATCAAGAAAAACTCGTCCAGAATTGAGTAGCAATTTCAAGTTCAGCACTTCCCAGGGACATTGTCCAAGCTAGTGAAGGCCATATGTCCCACGTAAAGGATACCCCTTTTGCAGCATTCCTGTTTTTCACAGATCTCTCTATACAATATTGTAGTATTACCATAAAATAGTTCTAAAATTTAAAAAAATACACACTTCTCATTTTCCAGAAGCATATTGACTCTGTCCATTGATTCGACTACAGTATTTTACAAGATGTAAAATTAGTTCATATAGTCCTATTTACAGTACAACAACAACAAAAAATTTATTTGCATGTCAAAGCTTCAATGACTTCATTTTATAAGGGGAACACTAACACAGATCTATAATCCCTTTGCAGTCTGTTCCCTTCATCCAAATCATACCAAACAACTTCCAAACAAAAGCAAGGGTTTGGGTGTTGAGGAGGGGATTAATTCTCTCTTATTGTGCTTTTAGTTCCTATTTCTCCTCGCTTCAGATTAAAAAAAAAAAAAAAAAAAAAAAAAAACTAAAACAGATTTAAGTGCACTTTTGTGAAGGCCTCTGGACCCATCTCTTTATTCATAAATTTAACAAGGGAGGGTAAGATCTAACAGTCACCATTGACTCATACAGGGAACAAGAATATTCCCTGAAAAAAACAGGCAGCATATACCCAAGTTAATGTATTCACTCTGGAAAAGGAGGGAGAAGGAAATGCACAGAGCATGCCATTGAAACGAAATCTGCTTCCTTAATCTGGAAAAAAAGACTTATCCTTTCACAAGATGGAAACAAGATCAGTCAAGCAGCCACTTTTTACATGAGACTGGGAAAGAGGGCAGAAGGACTATTTTTACACTGATATGCTCTTTAAGAAGCAGCACGCACACACAAAAATCCAATACACAAAAAGGTAAAGTTCACATACTTCCTTATAAAATTTTCTTATGCATTGTTTATCTTGGTACCATTTTCCCTCCCTGAAAAACACTAATTTCTTTTAACCTTCAATCATTACCACATGTTCAATGTCTAAGATTTTTTTTATTGCAGCCCTCTAAGTTGTTCTCACAGGTTTTGGTGTTGCAGCTGAGGTATCACTCACATCAAACATAGCAAAATAATCATCATCCATGATTACAGATTAAAGTCCTGTAATATTTACCTTTTTGGAATGACATTACATTGCAATAGACTGCAAACAAATGAGTCAGCAATGCCCAGGCCTTTTCTGCAGGGATGATACCTAGCCACTTATTCTCTGTTTTACTATAGGCTAGTATTTATTTCTTCCTTCCCAAGTGTAGTTTTTTGCATCTGTTGTCTTTTTCCCTTCCCAACTTATTATGATCAGCACATATACTAAGTCTCTCTTTTAAATTCTTTTCAGCCCTACCCAGCTTCATTTGACTAAACTGCAACAGCTCCCACTGTGTATTTTATTAATAGGTTTAAGGTGCACTCTGAAGTCAACCTATGAGAGCAAATACATTTAGTAAGGTAGAAACAACATGGGAGACACGATTGGTAGGCAAAGACAAGACATTCTCATGAAAAACAAACAGATGTGTGTTTTCTATAATGTAAAGAAAACATGGGTGACATTCAGACAGCATGCTCTTCAGAGCAAGGGAAGATTATCGTAATACAATAGAGGATAAAAGGGAAGTTTTTACTTTTAATATTACTAGAACAAAAACAAGCATTCTTCATCAGGATGCGTAATTTGAGTCTTCATTGTGAGCACACACTAAGAATTTATTCAATCTCTTAATATGAAAGGTCTCCATTTATAAAACATTTAGGGAGTGTAAACTTAAAAGCAGACTCTGGAGATTGCATCTTGATATTTTAGTTATTTTATATGGGTAGATATTTTAAACCCATGTGATAAAAGAATGCTTTAAAGCAGCTAGGCTGCCAACAGTTTCTTTGGTAGAAGGGGTGGGAGGGGAACCTACAAAGGCACTATTAGAGAATAGCAAGAAATTCAGACAAAGCAAAAATAACAAGGGATGAAAGAAAGGTGAAAGTGAGTTCTGTGAAAGTCTACCATACTATTTAAGCTTAAAACTCTGTACTATTTTTGTTGTCTGGAAGACAGACTTAAATTGGTGTATGAGTTATACTTCTTAAAACCTGGTAAACATGCTTTGAAAGAAACATGCTTTCTTGTTTGCTTTTCATGTGTTTAACGTGGACAAAGCATTCTTCCATCACAAGGCCACCAACATAAACTTGACAACAAATTTAAGACTATAGCCACAGAGAAACAAACTGCTGAGTGGGGAGAGCTGTGCCTTCTTTCACATTCATTCAACAGACATTCAAGTTAGGGAGTTTTTTCTAGTTACATTTAAATGCTTCAGGGCCCTCTTTCCAATCTGAAAGGTTTTGCTGCATGCAGCTTAAAAGAGATGTTCCTCCAGCACTGCAGCACCACTGCAAAGTCTGGGAGCTGTGGCCAAACTACTTCCTCTTTTAAGCACATGCACATGCCAATTTTAACATCGGCATAAAAAAGCCTGTATACACCAGACTTTAAGCTGAACCAGAACTAAAGACCACCTTTTGCTCAGCAAGGGGATCAAAACAAAGCAGTCAAACATAAAGTAGGAAACAAAGAGAACTGTTAACTTGTCAGACTTGATTGCTTATTCTAAAGGAAAACAAGCATTTAGACGTTATAGCAAAACAGCAGATTTTTCTTTCTTACCTCTCTGACTTCATGGAGTTGACCAGAACGCTGGGTCTTCGCTCTTCGAGCAGCTGCAGGTGATTTGTGATGTGTAATGGTTACAACAGTTGGCCCACTTTGATTCATATGTTTCTGGCCACTAGGAGATGCAGAATTAACTGTCCCAGGCGGCAGAAGAGATGAGCTTCTACTTCGTGAGGATGAAATGCCCTAGAACAAGCAATGGGATGTTGATATTAGCAACCTTTACACAAGTAAATAATTTACAATTCAGGCTACAGATTTGTGCTGCTCTACTTTCCTCACAAACCTAAATCTGGAGGTGTAACTGTGCTCAGGACTGATTTATTCCTTCTGAACCATCTGCATTGCTCAGCAGGGATCTCCTTGGAAACATTGTGGCTATTGCCTTTGTGTCTTGGCTTGTCTGAAATTGGCCTTAACAAAAATCTTCACAAACTCTTACCTATTAACATGCTGCTAAGTCCTTACAACCATACTTTTTGCGAAAGATTAGAAAGGATTTTGCAGACAGAGTAATGACAACACCAACACAAACATTTTTTATGAAGCCACTGACCTATAGTTCACCAAACTGGTATGAACAGCAAGGAAGAAAAAAAATTTTAATGCTTTCACCTGATGAACTTCTGAAACAGTGCAGTGCTGTTTTCATCTTCAGAGGAGCTGCAATTTTGGCAAGGCCAATCCACACACCAATTAAACATTAACGTTTAAAACAAAACATGCCTTAAAGAGTCAACATGTTTTGGAGTAAGCTTGGCATAAACCCTAAATACAAAAACCGCCAGAAATAAATCTCCAACAGTAGCTGCAGTGTGAATGCTCATAACATACAAACTATAAAATCAGTCTGAACATTCAAGAACTTTCTCTGTTCTTATCTAACTGTTTGTCAGTGTTGCCATCTTGGTTTGTTTTCTGCAGCCCTCAAACCCAAGTTTTCCTGGAGGTCTTTAGGACAGCAATTCTCAATCAAGCTCAGATGTGCACTAGAGCACCATGGGACATCATATATAGAAGTGCAATATAAAAGAGCTGTTCCTTTCTATTTGAACTGTTGATTGCACCTGTAAGGTTACAGCTGAAACAGAGTAACTCTTACCTCATGAAACAGAAACCACTTCAGAGAGTGACATTTAATAGCACTTTAAGAAAGTGAGGTATATATATCCAGCCCTACGGGTGAAATACCATTTCACCTCTCCTACAAACCCTGCACAACTAATGATGGCTGCCTTCAACATTGCTAATACAGTTACCATCAACATTGAGGTACCACTCTTGAGTCTGCTGGCAAGTGCACAAAAGTATTACTTGGGTGCAATCTCTCTTCTTATCCCTTACAGGTCAAACTTTGCAATTCTGGGGTAATTTCATTAGAAGATTTAAAATCCAAGGTGGACAGGTTCCACCTAGCACTGGAATTAAAGTCAGGCATCATGTTACCTACACTGCCTGTAAATGACAAGGCAGATTATCTGGCACTGCCAAGAAGGAAGAGTGAAATAAATTACATGATCTCTCTGCCACCCCCACACAAAACTAGACTTCAGACTTTTTGAGGCATTTGAAGGTCTAAAAAATGGGTTATCACATTCCCAGTGTGCAAAGAGCTGCTATACTCATAGAAATTAGCATTATTCCATTGGTCTGGACTTACATTTACAAATACTTCCAAGAATGATGGACTGACTCTGTTTTTGCAATGAATATATTCTCTACTACCACGACTAGTAAGATTATAATAATAAGCATCTGTAAAATCAGACATTCAAAAACTATCCATCCTGCTGATAATTCACAATTGCACTAAAACTGGATTTGACTCTAAGGAAAAAAAAAAAAAAGCATGAAAAGCATGGTGAGTGGAATTTGTCAGAAGGGCACAAAAGGTTGCCAGGTTTTTAACTTATCTTCCATTTGAAAAAGCATTGCTTAGACATAACTACAATTAAATAAGAGCCAGAGGAAAAGGTATTTGGGAGAAGGAAGGGGATGAGGGAAACTGGGTGCAATTGGATTTCCTTTTTTAAATAAAAGTTTCACAGAAAAACGCTATCCCTAGTATATAATAGCAGAATATACTTACTGATGTTTCTTTTTTAAACTGACTAGCATCAGAATACTTCTAAACTAAATTTAGAGTGCAGAAGAAGAACAAGGTAATTTCTTTTTTTTCAGCATAAAATGAACTTATCTTGCAGTTTAATAAAACTTATTGTTTTTAGAATGAAGTTTTCTGAGAATGACTGACACTCTAGTATCATGCGATCACAATATTAAAAATACACGACTGCTACTTTCATGTAGCTAAACTGATCCTAAAACTCAGATAAACAGCAGCAATGTAAAACAGTGAGTTTAGCCATTAGTTTTGCTTCAAAGAAAACAACATTCTGTGAGAAGGGAAGTTTTATTATGTTTTGATTGTCTTGGGGGTGGGGGGAAGTTATAGGTCTGCAAATAACAAAAGTAACATAAAACAAATATGGAAAAATCCATGCACTGTTTCTGTTTAAATACAGAATCAGGAAGGAATTCTAGGAGAGAGTTGGCTTTCAGAAAAACCAGCTGCCAAAATAATCTCATTTAACCAGCACACTTTGAGAAGTATGTTCATAAATTGAAATGCATGTACATTCTAAGTTAATATCTGTATCACTGATATTATTTGGCATTTCAATGCTATTTTTCCTCAAGACTGTTTCAAACTGCAGTGGACTATCTGCAGCTCACCCTTGGATCACAACAGACACCTTGATTGCAGCTCACACCTCACATTTGCTCTCATCACGTCACCTAACACGATACGCCTTTCACCAAACCCCACTTATACTTGGGAGTCATAAATTTGATAGTGAACTATTAGTACAAAAGCTGCTAGCTAGCTGTGATTTTTTTAACTGGCTTTGTATCACAAATAAGTAATGAACACATTTCCAAGAAACAGATATGCCCATCATTTTAGGAGTCTCTCAATCCAGATTAGATTTTTTTCTGTGCAAGATTTGCTCTGTTTCATAACACAACTCACTGGGCTACATCAACTACACTCCTAAACTGTGACTTGAGGCAGAATAAAGAGTCTGTGGGACCACAACGCATTTAAGATGGCTTTTCATTAAGTTTTGCAAAGGCCTGTGGCAGCTCACAGCAACTGTTGGTGGACAGTCATTTAGGGCGTGGAGTTTGGGAATCAGTGGAGCAGGAGAGAAAATCAGGAAGAACAGCCCACCTGTAGTTTCAGTGGCAGGTGGTGCTCAAGAAGGCTGTCCTGCTACAGGGTGCGGCGGTGTGCTCTCCCCTCCCGCCCCCCAACCTGACCTGTATTTCCCGTAACCCTGCTCAAGTGATAACCATCAGTGGAGGTCTGATGGATGTGTCTGGTCGTGATGGCTGCATCCGGCTCAATGTGGACTCAGGGGAGACAGATAATACAATAGCTGAGGGCTAATTTGAACAATGCACCTGCCTAACCACAGTGCTGGTCAATGTCTGACTCAAGCCAAATTTGGAAGAAACTAACACCTGTAGTCAGTAAGTAAATATGAGTCAATTATCTCACTCCATAAATAGTGGACAGCCCAGGGCCCGTTGAGCTCTCCTGCATGGTAGCGCGCTGCATGCCAGGATCTCACCTTGAGTAGGGACACCTCTCAAGGTTATTCCTCAAGGTCGAGAGAGTCCTTGCTGCAACAGATTCTCAGTAAGTGATTAATAGCATGCTAAACTTTGAAATCTGAGCTAAGTGATGGAAAGGATTGATTGCGCATATATAATCCTTTAGACATAGACCGTTGACCAAGTCTGGATCCAGCTGCGCCTAAACTTCCCTCTGAGAAGGAGTTTAGAAAGCAAGGGGATCCATTCTGAACCTCATGACTCAACAGGAGGGTCTCCCCAACAGTTTTGTCTGACCCTGTCCTCTATGCAGTAAGTATCAAGTGAACCTCGCCATCAAATCTTGTTAAACCACAGCTGCATTTACTATCAAACACTGTTAAACTGCTGTTTTATATCAATAAACATATTGCTCCTTCTCTCTTACAAGTGAAGAGCGTCACTCCATCCGCGACACAGGGACGCTAGGTAAGCTCAAATCTCTACATACACAAGTTGACAGCCTGGCAAGGGCTGACCATATCACACTGCCTGGTGTGCCTGACATTCAGCTGCATGCCTTGCCCTACAATAGTGCTATGTGATCTCTAGGGAGTGATCACCTCTGCCAGTGAGCCTCTTCTAGAGTCCTCTCCTTCCCCTCTCAGCACAGTATATCAATCCTATGCAGCTCACTGAGCCAGGAAGATTGGCAATCTTGAATTAGCACGTACAGCCATGATCTGTGCCAAATATCAGAGGCAAATACATTGGTTTGAACAGCTCCTACAGGTCTATAAGCAAGTTTTCCTCACCTTTTCATTTTCTGTCCCTTTATACTCTTCATCCATCTAGCTAACCAACGTTTCCGACAAACGTGCCAGAAAACTCCACCAGCCCAGGACAGAAATCCTGTAGCATCTAATTAGGGATTATTCTTTAGAGGACGTCTGTAACATGCAAACCCTAAATGAGCTCAGCACCAGGACCTCTGGCTACCCATGAAACTACCCTTAGGCAAGGCCTCATGATAAATAAAGAATTCCAACTTACAACTTGCAAAAGCAGTCACACACAAAGCGCAGGTGAATGTCTGCAGGAGGCAGTTTCTACAAGCCCTCAAAACCTTTTGAAGTGGGGTTCCACTCCTCAATGCCACAGAGAACAGCAGCAGAGCACTGTGCCTGCTCCATCCAAGGAGACAGGGGCAGCAGCTAATTCCTTCTGACAGCTTCTTCCTGCCACTGCCAGAAGAAGCCTCTCCACGAACTACACACTCAGCCCCTTAGGCACTTTTGAATTTCACAACACATTGTCAACACCTATGTCCCAGCCAAATACTTGACTCCTCTTTTGCAGAACTTCTTCAGATTAAACACGGGGAGTGACAAGCATCTCTTTTGCACTGATACACAGCTGTGCAAAAATAAAAATTTTCCATTTTTGTTAAAATGTTAAAACCTATGTGATGTTTTCTACAGCTAAAAACACTCTAATTACACATCATACTACAACAGTCATTAAAGTCACTCTCCCAGGAAATCCAAGCAATGACAGTAACTCATGGATCTTTATTACTTAACCCC